TATATATATATANATTATATATATATATATATATATATATATATATATATATATATATATATATATATATATATATATATATATATATATATATATACCTTTTGAGTAGATATGTGCTTATTTATTAATAGGATCTAATGATTAGTATAAGCCTATAAGCAGAAGTTGTCTATTGATCAAAGCACTGGGAACTGGACATTATAGCAACCAGCAGAGCCTTGAAACAAGTGAATTTTATGAAATGCGAAAAATAGAACTCATTCCCAGAATATATATAGGTGAACCATGGAGCGATCCATGGAATAGTGTAAATACATGTAATATTAAATGCCACAATAACAGTAAAATCCGGTTGCCAAGCTGTACTCGTACTTACCTTTGACGTCGAAAGCTATCAATTGATTTGAAGCTTGGTACGCTGGAGAAGAAACTCCCATCTTGACTTGTATCAATGATGGGTATGGGAGATATCTGTCCTTTATCCTTCCTCCTATGTAATCTATCTCTCAAATGTCTATGCTTCCTGGGCTCGTCAACCATATTAATACGATGATATTACCTGTATAGATATGCGACTGATAGCTATATTGTTCGCCTACTGACACCTGGTTGGATCTCCAATTGATAGCCGTATTTTTCTCCTAGTGATAGCTGTATTGTTCTTTTGTAGATTTACTAAGTACTATGTTAGTATATTCACTATTTGCATAGTCTAGATAAAGAGAAGGTTATGCTATTTACGTATATTTATCCTCTGTTTGTGGTTGTACAATAACTTGATGAGTTTTAGTATCTTTATAGAGACAAAAAAATCACCCAAATATTTTTGAAAAATAGGTACACACTCTACTACTATACGATAGTCGATAAAATCGAAATGGTGCATTCGATATAGTAAAAACAGATATAGTCACCAATCTCCACCTTTATTGTTTTTAACGCTTTCTGATTGGGTTTGCGAGATTACAAAAGCGATAATTATTAGTACTGCGTTTTGTTGGACGGCGAGTCATCGACAACGGCCGGAGTGTCGGCTGTCTTTGTTTATTTTTTAATATTTAGTATGTATCACATCATTCACATGTTCATTGTTCTCATCTCGTTCATGGCTGGTAATGTACTACGATATTAACATAGCCTTCTGAGTTATACATATAAAGTAATGATAAAAATAAAACACTTGAAATACGTAAATATAACAGGGATTGGTTATAAGGAGACAATTCCTACGTTACCTCGGGATTCATTACCCTTCGCTGGAAAAATGCCAACCATCACAGTCCCTCTATGAAATTTAAGTAGGCTGTTATAAAGTAACTTGTACTAAGCAGGTGTCTGTTCCGAATTTAGCTGTTATAAAGTAACTGTACTAAGCAAGTGTCTGCTACGAGTTTATATGGAAACATGAGTGTAAAACGCATCTCACGCAATTTTCTCACTGTAGTGTGGGTTGTTCGCAGAAGCATCAGGCATTGAAAATTCTGCCACCTGAAATAAAAATCCCGGGTTGAGTTTATTTTGAATGATTGAAATGGAGTTATAGTCTGATACCACAGGCTGGCAAGCAGATAGTCACGAACGCTGAATCAGGTCGCGCAGTATCCATGCTTTGTCGTGTCCATCCAACGATCAGGTCCGCTGTGTTGTGTTCTTCGTACATATATTATATTTGCTCTATGCATAGTGGCAGTGGCACTAGCTTGTGGCAGGAGAAGCAATTGTTCTATTTTTTCTCTAGTCTAGAGTTGTGTATGCACAGTATTTATAGTTTTCTTGTCACGCCGACGACAAAGGCTCTATCACACTCTGTGATCTATTCTATTTATAAAGCAAAAATGAGAATGCCGTTGTCCACTGTCCAGACTTCTGACTTCAATTTTTGTTTGAAATGTAAACGTTTATTATGTCATCATGCGAGTACAATCGGGATCTGTGGGGGCAGTTTATCCTTTTTACGGTGAAAACGTATGAAGTACATATCATCACTTTTGCGTGTGCGATAAACGTGACTTCATTTTTGGTGCAAAACCAAAACAAAACGAGTTGACGTTATTTTGTATTGTCGTAAAAAAAAAATAGCTCAGACTTCAAAAATGGCCATTTGTGGAATATTCTCCAGCAGTCCAGCCGGTCTGATGTGAGTGATCGCTTTATTTATGACTGATCGTTTCGGTCTTTTGGACCAATATGAATATTGTCATCACAATTTTTTTTTTTTTAAATAAATACACTTTTATAAATATTATATTTTTTTTACTGTATGTACATACAAAATTCATATAGGACGTGGGTGAGGGGCGTGGCCCTGTGCCCTGTGGCAGGGCCCTTAGGGTGCAGGGGCACTTTATAGTTTATATACCGACTGTATTTTTTCATTTTTTTTAAACTCTGTACTATTTATACTGTACCTGCAGGTCTGACTCTCTGGGGGGCCGGGACATTTATTTACAAATAGCCTTGCTTATTTGTTTTTAGAAAATGGTCCAAGTATGGCCTAGGGACCTTGCGGTGTGGGTGTGGTCAATTGGTCATTAAATACTGGTTGAATAGTGGTGCGTGGAAATTCTTTCAAAAAAAATATTTTGGGTTCAGATTATTCAGAAAACCTATTTGTGGTTCCGTGGTTCGTAAAGTCCGATGAGTCCGTGGGGGTGTGAGTAATAAACAAATAATATTGGTCGGAAAGGGTTGCACTCGATTTCGACAAAGTCATCACCGTGTGCTTTATGTGCATATATACGATGGAGCACGTACGGGTTAAAGCACAGAGAGGCTTCTAAAGGAGCTATACTAATAGTATATACTTACTGCAGACTGTTGTGAGTGAGACGAATATCCCTACCCCTACTTGGCGAAGGATCAAAATCTCTTCCGCTCTACAGCTCGGTGTCTGTGTACAAAACAGTTTACCTCGTAATTTAGACAGTTGCTAGATTCGCATACTCTCGGGCACTAGAGTTGATTTAAAAGTCACGAAGGTCACCTACAGGGGTCTGTATCACTAAACTATATATAGCCGGGCGTAGCCAGGTTTAGGTAGTCTATTAACGATCACATAGTATAATTTGAGAGTGAGGGAGGCATCCCACCTACGTTACAATGGGTGCAACGGGCACGTTAGCTGCCGATGGCAAGTCGGCGAAGGCTCTGGCTCAGCCTACGCCATTCCTACGTAAGCTGTACCATATGGTGGACGATGCGAATTCAAACAACTGCATAGGCTGGAACGATCAGGGCGATGGGTTCAATCTAGTCAATGCTGAGTCGTTCGCTAAGGACATACTGCCACACTACTTCAAGCACAATAACTTTGCAACGTTTGTGCGGCAATTGAACATGTATGACTTCAGCAAGGTCATGGCTCCGCAGAAGGGCATTGTGCAGCCGGGAGAGTTTCATGCATGGCGCTTTACACATCCCAGCTTCAGACGCGGGCACCCTGAGTTGCTAGTCAACATACACAGAAAGACCCACTCCACCACGGCCAATAAGGTGAAAGTGGAATCAAGTGTGGATGTCGATGAGCTTGCTAAACAGGTATGCAGCAGAGTGTGTCCATGGACAGTTAGCTAATGTGTATGTTACATTGGGGAGTGCGTTGATGTGGGTGCTAGGCTGGGATAGTGCTATCAAACTCGGTGGTGTGCATGTGTGTGCGAAAAATCCTTGAATACATAGAGCCGGTCTGTTCAACTCGGTGAGTTGGATTTTGTTGCGCTGTGTTATTGCTGATTTAGATTTCTGTAGAGGCAGGTGTACAGTCGTCATATCAAATAGCTTATCAGTCTGTTTAGTATGTCTCATCTATATAGTATTTAGTAAGTCCCATCTAAGCGTCTTGCGGTAAACTTCCACCAGTGTACTCTCAAATTCAACTCACAACGCCAAGTTTTTGTGCGGATACTGACAGGTTCACTAGCTGTAGTTGGCTTGCCAATTAGAATTTGTGTGGCATTTACTTTACTAAAAGTACTAGAAAGCACGTCTGCCGTACACAAGAGTGGAATTAGTATTAAAACTTTGGAATAAGGCGATTTGCAACGAGATAGTATATCAATTACCGTTTGCGTATACAATCTTTGCATCTCCTTTCGATTTTTTCGTAGGCTCTAAATATCTTTCATTGCGGAAGTATCTTATGTTGTAAAGATTTAGTTTACAGATATATTCATCAACTCCTAATATGTAAATAAATATATATAAATATATATATATAGAAATAGATATAGATATGTAGATGTATGCACGCATATATATATATATATATATATATGCGTATACATATTATGAATTTATACGTCTTTTGGGAGGGAGTCGATTAAAGCGTTACCACTTGAGACACTGCCGCAGTAAATAATAATCAGAGCTATATATATATAAACGTATATATATATATATATGTTCATATACATATTTATACTTACATATTTATATGCTTATACATTTATATGCTTATTTATATATATATATATATATATGTGTGTGTGTATCTATATGTGTATGTGTGTGTGTATATATATGTTTGCGTGTGTGTTCATGTTTTTAATTTCTCTTACTCACTTTCATTTATTTTAATTAGAATTAAATATGTTTCTGTGTTTATGTATTTCTACCTTGACATTCATTTCTAAGTTAGTCATATATATTCCCGAGTATATATATATATGTGTGTGTGTGTGTGTGTATGTATGTATGTATGTATATATATATATATATAACTATATGTAGTATATATATATACATATATGTATATGTATATATATATATACATATATGTATATGTATATATATATATGTGCGTGTGTATGTATGTATATAAATATATATGTGTGTGTCTGTGCGTTTCCGTTTGCTTCTGCGTTTGTGTTTGCGTTTGCGTGTGCGTGTTTTTATGAGATGCATGTATTTAAGAGTATGTATGTTCGCATGTGTGTACGTATATATATATAAATATATAATATATGATGCAAGTATTTTAAATGTGTTTACATACGTAATTTTACGTGTCTATAATAATGTATGTTTTTGTTTGTGTGTATGTATTTGCGCATCATATTTGTACATAGATAAAACTCGTACGTTTACGCTCGTATACACTCATCATATCTATATATATATATAAACGTATGTATGTATGTATATATATATATATATATATATATTGCATGCTTGCATACATACATACATATATATGATGAGTACGCATATACGCATACACAAAAATATGTATATATATATATACATATATATATATATATATATTTATGTGTGTGTTTTTATTTGCATATATAAATTCATATATCTGTATCTATATTTATATAGATATGTCTGTATATTATATATATATATGTGTGTGTGTGTGTACATATTAATATATATATGTATATATGCGTGTGTACTTGTTTTTCTGGATATATAACATTTACATTTAAGCGTACGTGTATGTTATGTATCATGCGTGCTGGTGTATTATGTATACTTACACACACATATATATCTATATATATATATGTGTGTGTGTGTGGTCCTGACGAATTTGGTTTTCTCGACTGTAGCACTGGAAATCGTTCTCAGCAACCATCTACCAGGGCAGCAAAATCATCAATGGTAGTTGAATCTACACATTCCTGATCATCCTGCTTGCTACGGATGTCAGCTGTTTAATTCGCAGTTTCGCTTCAATCACAGTTTCAACAAATAAGAACCGAAAATGAACAGATGAAGAAAGAAGTGGCACAGCTTAAGCAGGAGACCTCCGATCTACGGTATATGCATTTGACGTTCAAAGTTAGTTACTTTATATTCCTGAACCCCGACATGGTGCGTCTTGTATATTTCGTTGCCTATGGTGTGTACCAAGGATGACTGGCAATACCATCGAGAGGCCGCCATCCAGTGCAGAAGTGCTTTATGCCCATCCAAATGCTAGTGTATGTATCACGTCTCCCATTTTGCTAGTGTATGCATCACGTCTCCCACTTTTGCTAGTGTGCATCACGTCTCCCACTTTTTCTAGTGTATGCATCACGTCTCCCACTTTTTCTAGTGTATGCATCACGTCTCCCACTTTTTAGTTAGCTGTGTATGTCTTATGTACCGCCTGACACATTGTTCCGTAACTACCCTTTTGCACTTCCACTTGCAGGAGTCAGAACCAGGCACTGATGTCCTCATCTATTATGAGCATCTCTAAGTCACATGAGGTACATTCGTCCATTGAAAAGATTCTGAAGTTCTTGGCAAGTGTGTATTCCCATGATTTCATTCGCCAACAGCTGGAGAGCCAACCCAATCAGAGCAATACAATCATGCAGATGTTCCAGACGGCTACGCAACAACACGGCACATACACACAAGCGCAAGCACACGCACATAACAACAGCAACGTGACTGCGTATGACGAGGACACGCCCCTGTTTGGGATGAGCAATTCTTTGGTACCCTTTGCCATTGAGTCGGCGCCCAATGATGTGGAGATGTCCATTGAAGGCGATGGCAACGACCGCTTCATCTCGGCCGACAGCACCCCTGCAGTACAACCACGGTCAACCACTAGCCACAGACTACGCACAAGCACACAGCCAGAAGTGCACATGCTGTCCAACACCAGCAGCTTAAGCGATACCAACAGCATCGATGGCGATCGCATAGGTATGTCCTCGGGCACGGGAATGAAACAGGCGAACCAGACACGTAAAAGTGCTGGGCTGAAGGCGAAAGCGAGCCCAAGCACAAAAGGGAAGAAAATCACTAGGCAGAAAAGCAACACGGCTGCAAATACAGATACAAGCTCGCTGACGGCGGACCGTAACAATCAATTGGTGCTCGCATACAGCCACCCCCACTTAGACCTGATTCGCCAGACACAGCAACATCTGCAGCAGCAGCAGATGGAGATAGACCGACAGAGGATCCAACTGCAACTGAGCATGCAGCAATCAGCCTCGAACCAACAAAAACCGTTCGCGGCAGGGCAGGGCAAGGGCGGCACACACGCCATGGGTGACCTCTACACGAAGCAGGACTCGGGGCTGAATAGGCTATCCAATGACCTCGACATCATATACGCACAGACAGACACATTCAATAGGAACTCCGCCGGTGGTCTGGCGGCTGTCAATTCATCGTTGGGCGCGAATGCACCAGGCAGTGTAGGTAACGATCCCGTCATGTACAGTGTGTCCAGTCCCCCTGAGGACAACACTGCGACGGCAGACAGGAACAGCATTGGGGTTCAACGACTTAACAGTGGCAATGACGTTAGCGAACGGCGTAGCAGTACCATGAGCATGGGCGTCAACGAAGCACCGGAGAGTACCAACAGCCTAGGCATAGGTGGTAACCAGTCAGTCGCCGCAGGTGGGTTGAATAAGGACACGAGCACCTTGGATAGGTCCGGGTCTACGTTATCGGGTGGCCTGGGTGGGAATGGCTTGGGCATGGGCATGGCGACACCCCAGTGGCAGACTGCCCCCAATGCGAATACTGACAACCTTATGAATACAAATGTCAATACAAACTTCGGTAAGCAACCGCAAGGCGTACAGCTGACTCAACAACAGCAAATGCAACGGCAATACCTGAGGAACATGCAGCAACAACAGCAACTGCAACAGATGAAGGCGCAACAACAGACTCAGCAACTGCGACAGCCGCAATCACAGCAAACCCTACAAACCCTACAAGCACAACAGAAGATACAACAGCAGCAGCAGCTGCAGTTACTGCAGCAGCAACAGCAGCACAATCAACACCTGCTACAGCAAGCCAGGCAGGGCGACGCCAAGACCCAGGGCAACGAAGCGGCGTACGGGACGTCTATGCTGCCACAGAATGAACAGACACAGGCTGCACGACCCACGTCTGCACACTACAGTGGCGTACAACCGGTAGTCACAACACCACCGCAGTTGAATGAAACAGGGCTGGCTCAGTTGGCTGCCGGTGGAAAGGATGGCGAGTTTATATACTCGCCTCTGCCGCCTTTGATGGGGGACGGCGACGCCCAGATGAACCCGCTGTTGAGCCAAATCGATGGGAATGGGGGGCTTGACATGGGGTCTAATATAGATAGCACGTTCGACATGGACGAGTACGAGAATATGTTTAATATGGCGGATAGTATAGACCTGTCCAGCATCCCAGATTTGACTGGTGCTACCACACAACAGCAACTGGCAACGCTCAACCCCAATGCGAACCCGAATATGATCAACAACACGAGTACAAACCCGTATGCTGGTTCTGATGGACTTCTAAGCTCAAGTCCGTCTACAATTTACAGTACCAATGGCAATACCAATAACAACATCAACCCGCACACGGATGCACTGACACGCACGAGCACCGGGAGTAGTGTCGATATGAGAACCTTCTCGGTGCCTTCTCTGAATACGCCGCTGGAGTTGGGTCAGACAAACGCTTCCATTAGCCCCGCCGCTGGTACGGGCCTGAATGTAGACAACGCTGGTCATATTCCGATCCCACGAGCGAGGGCTGGGTCAGTCAAGTCACCCCGTTTGTCGTTACATAGCATACGATCGCCTACGGCTGAGGCGCTTGAGATGGAGTCAGACACGAAGAGCGACGACGACGATGACTTGGAGGGTATGTCACACCAACGCAAACGGAAACGAGGCGTGCAGTGAGACAGTCACATTGACGGAGCACAAACTATGCTAACACTCCATCCACCGACATACAATGAACGCGTTCATTGTCAGGCAATTACCGTATGCGCCAGAGAGACACTATGGCCTGGCTCGTGGGCGGACCGCCTGAACATTTGGAACCCGTTTAGGGTGCCACCTTACCTGCTATGCACGATAGGATATGCAACTATGCATTATTAGGATGCATGCTATGCACGATAGGATATGCAACTATGCATTATTAGGATGCACGGGATCACTAGAGCCCTGGCTGCTCTGAAAATTCGGATTCTTCAAATTGTGAGGTGTGGGCGGGCGGGCACCGGGCGATATACAAGTGTACTATTCGCCCCATCACCTGCACTGCCTGCTGCACTGGATATCCTGAGCCATGCAGTCGTATGGTCAAGCGACACTCTCGTGGCTGCAAGTGTCACATTGTCATATTATCAATATAGAGCGACAAAACAAATACAAGTTGTCAAAACATAAATCTTATCGAAACTCACACTCGAGGCAACAGAACGGCTGTTCTATATATGTACTACAAGTCGTAGTGTGTTGTTGTCAGTGTCAGATCTGTTGCTAATGTCTTTGGTGCCTATCGCTAATGTTATAATTTCTCCTCGTCAATCGTGGTCTAAGGTCTTTGGTGCCAGCTGTTTCTGTTATAATTTTCCCTCATCACTTGTGGTCATGAGGGAAAATTAT